AACTACTAAATTAGTAATTCGTAATGCTTCCGGTATGAGCAACCATGTGAACCGAATTTACACGGTGGCAGCGCATCATTTGTTGCATATAGCTTGTCAGGAGATCTCTTCAGCAGGCCAAGAATATGCCGTACTGCAGTTCATTTCTCAAGTGGTAGTACATCAAGATTACATTGCAACGACACCCAATTCGTTGGGCAGATGATTCAGCCCATACCACTTTGAAGTTCAGTAGCCAACGGCCTATTCATACTTCACCTCTGAATTATTGTTTGAATATCATAATTATAACTTTGTGATTTATTACACTTTAAATTCAAGTCTTCCTAAAACAGCATCGTTTATGTTTAGCGAGTCATGGACCTGCCGCAAGTCCCAAATGTGGAAGAAACGAAAAGTTTACAACCTGTGGAAGTATGTGTCCAAAAACCTGCGAATCAATCAAACGTCCGCAGGCGCGGCCGTGTGCGGCTGGATGCCTTGCCGGTTGCGTCTGTAAGGAAGGCTACGTGCGCAAGAAAAATGGAAGATGCGTAAAGCCGCGAAACTGCTGAAAATGATCGATGCTGGTGTTATTCGAACTGTCGATTTAGATTTTGTCTTGTATTACTGTCTATTAGTTTTAATAACTAGAAAGTAATAATTGATGCGTCAATGTGATCATACTACAGTATCTTCTGTGAGAATAGCAAAACGTGGCAAGACTCAATTAGAGGAAGTGCTTGTGCAAGAAGCCAAGTTGCTATCCAAATTAGGACCTGCAATCTGGAGTCAAATTCGAGGTACCAGGATTTTAACTGTTGGACTGAATGGGCACTGCAGAGTGAATAGGCAAAGAACCTTATCAGATTTGCGACGCAAAGAAATAACATTTTTTGAACGGGGATATTCGAATCGTTTTTGCTGTTTACTGAAATCATCGCTTTGAACCGTTTGCAAAACGGGAGCTTTTCTGGTTAGTGAGGTACGTTGTGTTCACAGCTTTCCAACGCTTCTGCCAAAAGACAGCAGTTATTGCATTATAGAAAAAGTATTTCTCTTTGAAAGCAGATCTGTCTCTACCACACATTTGGCCCTTTGGACGATGTTCCTTGTTTTGACTGAAACACGAGTAGTGCCGGGTTGAAGTAAATGTTTGCCTGGCAAGTCCGTTCTCAATTTCTTAATCTCCGTATCGGCCGAGGTCGCCTGTGGTTGGAAGGGAAAGAAGTGGCAAGGGAACATTGACGGAGGTTCGTGGGAAGAGCAACTCTTTTCTCATCCAAAATATTGGACAAGTTTCTAAAAGCAACCGATGCTGGGAGATTCTCGTAGTTAATTCTAGCTGGACAGCGCCATCGCGGGAGGTGATGCAGCCCACTTGCTTAAGCTGGTCAACTTCCTGACGGGCTTTACCTCCCTGTTCCCCTTGTATTAGAACCGAATTACACTCATCAGCAAGAAAGCACGATCGGATGAACTTCGTTATAAGACCGATTGCAATGACTGCGACAGATCTACATGGGAAAACCGTATACGAAGTTCGGATAAAAGGGTTGCGAAACGTCTAGCAGCTCTGAGAAATGAGAGAAGGAGCAAGCATCCCGGTGTCGTATCCCATGTTTTCGTATCCTACTTGGGACACTCATTAATGTTACTTGTGTTGATAGGGAGAGGACAAACATCAGGCTATTAATGACATAATCAGAACACATATTGGCTGACAAAAACCAACTATATAACGAACGTACGAACCATATTAGCTTGAGTCACAGCTGAAGTGTCCCCGTCTATCTTGCCCGGAAGCATTGATAGAATAAACGTAATTTGTCACTCAAATTTATTTCATAACATCGTGCTATTTTATTTGTGTAATATATCCTTGATGTGTGCGGTGGTTTGCGGCATCAAAACATGTGAAGGAATTTACACCGTCCTTTCCAAATGTTCCTATTGGCCTTGGATCGAGATCCGAGGATCATCAACGGTAATTCAGTCATGGAACAAATCGATCCTTCCTTCAACAGCCATCTGAAGATTCGCATTAGCTCAGTATTTAGCGAACGAAACAAGCCTACAAAATTAGGAATACGAAAGCCTCGAATGATTGAAGCACTCACGGATTTGCTGCAGCATCATTATCATCGTAAATCTTGCCCCAATTATAATATTCATACTTTTAATGTCAGTAACACTCCAAGAAATATGGCATGAGTGATATTAACATAAATTAAAATCGAGTCGTACGGGATTGATGGCAAGTTGCTGAGGGCCATCCAGTCATTGTATTCTGATAGCAGGTGCTGTGTCA